TGCTCTCTCTTAGTGTTAGTGTGACCAGGAATAAAAAAGCACAGGGTTAGAGTAGCAGGTTAGTTTTTAGAGAAATGTACAGTTAGACAATAAATCTCACCAGAAAAACTACTTAAGACAGAAACTAAAATCATTAGATTTGCCCTTATGGTGGAATAACCCCTGCTTTCATATTTCATTGCTAAAAACAGTGAATAAGAAAAATGACAAAATAATGGGTTGAATCCATATGAATAATGGATTTTCTTCTTTTCTTTTATAACTTCTTTTCTTTTATAACTTCTTTTATATCTTTTATATTTTTTATTTATTTTATATTGTTAATTTTAATTTGATATTGTTATTTTTGTATTTTATTGTATTTTATTGTGTTGGAAGCCGCCCTGAGGCTTCAGCAAGGGGGCGGCATAGAAATGTTCTAATAAATAAATAAAAATAAATAATGACCTCAGACACCTCTCCAAAATTGCACCCTTGTTTAGTATCAAGCAAGAACATGACCAGAAATGACAAATCCTTCCTGAAAAGTGCTTTTGTCTGTAAAAGCTCCAGATCTGCTGCTTTAAAAATGGAAGTTAACTCTGGTGAGTTAACTCTCACCACCACTGTCCTGTCTTCCAAACAAAGTATCTACTTGGTGCAAGAAGCACCACTAGAAGACCTTCATAGAATTTTGGTTGACTGGCACTATTTATATGCTTATATAGTATCAGTTTGGGAAATTATCCTTATCAGTTCCAGTGCTGAACAAAGTAAAATGTGTAGACAGATAAAAATGTGTCCATCGAAGTGAGCAATGAAAGCTATCGGTCAACAGCTGAATAAACACTTTGCAAGGGCTTGCTGCAGATTTTTAAAGAGAAAAGGCAGATGCTTTTGAGGACAAATGGGGAGGATACTCTCCAGAGCACTGGAGTTTACCAGGCAACACTTCAGATATACTGAGCCTGCACATCTTTGATTACAGGAAAGAGAAATTTGTTGCCTTTCATCTTTTAAATAAAGTTCCCTTAAAGATTATTCTTCAGCCGTTCAGGTTTTCTCTTAATCTTCCCCCTTCTGGCAAAGCAATGGAAAGAAAAGCATTGCGTGTTAGCTAGGGAAAAGAAGGCAGAAGAAGAAAAGGAAGATCAAATATGAGATGGATTGACTTCCTTAGGGAACTCACAGACTTTAATTTGGAAATGCTGGGAGGAATGTCAGGGATAGAACATTTTGGAGGGTTTTCACTCTCCCTCTCTCCCTCATTACTGTCACCAACATCACCAGCAGTGACTTTTTGTCTATTTCTCCTGACCTGGATATTCCACAAGTCTTTGGAAGCTTACTAAATAAGTAACAACACTTGGCTGATCATAATCATATTATAGTAGCAGAAAAGGTAAGCTTCTAAAAGGCAAAAGCACAGTAGATCACTGCTTGCCATATTCCATGTGGTTAGTAATTATATCCAATATTTGAAGCAATGCTTTTTATGTAGTAACATTTGCTAAGTAGAGGTCATCTTTGGTACTAATATCAAAGCTGCTGTTGCTGTTGTTAGTTTAATACAGATTAAGGAACCTGTGTTGGTGTAAACGGTAACATTTCTTAGAAAAAGTCAACCACTAGAGGAATAATGCAAGCTGTTTATTGGTCTTCAACTTCTCTATAAATAATGTGGTTTAAGATTAGTCTATTTATTCCACTGTGTGTAAGGAAATACAAGATAAGACATGAACCTTGTTCAATGCAGAAGATAAAATACTTAAATCATGACTCAAGTAGGTCTGAAATGCCTTTTAAATGCTTCAGAGGCTATTGTCAGAAATCAACAGTGGGACCTTTAAAAAGAAAGAGTGTCAGTTGGGGCCCAATGTTAAATGTTGGGTGCCTCTCACTTCAAGCCTCTAGGATGCTGGAGGTGCAAGGCAAAGAGCCAAGTCAAAAGGCTCTCATCCTTTGGCTCTTTCCCTTTGGGGAGAGGCCTGTGGAAAGAGCCAGGAGTCATGACCAGAATAGCATGGGTGGCCAGTCCATTCTCACCAACAGCCAGAACAGGAGACCCCTCCTTCCTATGGCTGTACCTGGCCAGAAGGCTTTAGACTTTTGAGAAGGGAATATTTTTGACTAGGTAATACAGCTTCCACCACAGGCACAGACTTTGATTTTTGAACTTGCCACTTGGGACAGCTGAGAGCAGGCAAGGCTTGTTCTTTATCATAATCTCAGTCCATTGCTACACTAAAGGCAATTCTTTTCCAGGGAGGACAACTGAATCCACTCAACCAACCAGAGAGTCCATCTTCACATTAGTGACAACTGTGCAGAAGACCCTAGTTCTGGGATATCCCTGGCTGGGAATAGTGCAGCGGTTGTAACATGTTCCTAGGAGATATTGTGGTAAACTGGGTGGAGAGTGTAACAGGTACAGGCAAGGGGAGGTACAATGTTGTGGGATTAACATGCCATTTGAGGAGAGTGGAGATCAAACATCTTTTGTTCTTCTCTCAACTGGGGAATCTCTGGTTGTTATACAGACTTGTTCGAAGGTCTTACGATGCTGTTGCTAAATGGATACATTTATTATTTAGCAGCTGCATTCATTATTTGCAGCTGCTAAATAATGACTCATTCATTATTTAATTGTGGTTGAGAGGCATCTATAACTGAGATCCAGGTGGATGAATTGGGAGAATTAGTCTTACCCAGCTGTGCCCATCTAGGTACTCAATACTGCATCAGCGCAGAGTTGAGGGTTGGGGTGAGTGGTTGCTATGATCTATGGGGAATCCACCATGGCCTATCATCCACACTGCTGCCAAACAGTCTCCTTGTCTCACCTGATAGACATGGTCTTTGAGTTAGTGCCAAGGTCTCCTAGGATGCTTGTCCCAGAGGACTTCAGTATTTATGCCACCTAGTCCAATCTGTTGTGAGTCAAGGTTTCATGGATACTGTGACTATTATGGGGTTTGCCACCAACCCAACACTCTTTGCTTTTTTCACTGGACAAAAGACGGAGGATTTAACAACTATCCCTTTGTCATGGTTGGACGGAACACTACCTGAGGAGGCTCAGATTTCTATCAGCTGCCACCCTTCTCAAAGGTGGGGACCTATTAGAATGCTTCATCCTTGGAAACCAGTGCAAGTGACTTGAAGCACCTTGCTTCATGAAACAAGCAGGACATGGGCTGGGATGCAAGTGGAGAAAGGTGTGTGCTGAACCTGACTGAACACAGGTTATAGATCATTATCCAGCCTAGTCTGTGGCAGTGAGGCTGGCAACGAGTTTCTTTTCTACTGCCACTACCTTTTGCAACTTCTCAGTGTCACTCAGACTAGCTGCCTGTGTGGTTCTTGTTCAAATCTGTACCTGAGATGGAATTTGTCACAGACTTGATATATGCTTTGTCACATGCTTGCTGTGGTAATTGTGCATGGATGAGTTCAACCAGCTGTTTGTATGCTTGGGAAATGTTTGAGTGTTTAGACAGATAAATGCTTAGTTTCTTTACATCTTTTCAGTAATCATACGTGTGGGTGAGTGGTGATACTTCTTCAGTTCTTTAAATCATTGCTCTCAGATGGAAATGCTGGAAATGATAATAACTTTCAGACAGATCAGCTTCACTTAAGTTGTTATCATCATCACATTATTGAGAATAATCCTTTTATTGGCACCTTTCAAAGTTACTTAGTTTGGTGTTTCTAATGTCCCCAATTCACTGATAGTGAACTTTGTAATTGCTGCTTCAGCAATAGGGGCTACATCAACCTTCCCAAAACCATGCTCTTCAGAAATTTTTGGAGTATAACTGTAGCATTTTTGGCTACTGACCACACCAGCTAGCGCTGATGGAAGTTGAAGTCTAACACATCTAGAGGGCACACAACTGTGGAAGGTTTGGCTAGTTATTGGAGTCTCCCAACTGGCTGGGGATGCCTATTAAAATATCTACAATATCTGAACTGGATAAGCTTATGGAATGTATTCATTGAAAAACTGGAAGAAAACTAACGCTACAGATAAGTGGTCACATTTTTGTTTATTGAAGTAATAGTTGTTCACATACCAGATTGGATAGAAAACTGTTGTACTTTTTTAACAGCAAATGTTGTGTTTAATATTTAACAGCAAATATTACAACTTGTAAATTTCAATCCATTTAAAAATATGACTAAGCTCAGTCCTTCATTTTCCACTTTGTATTAACATTCATGTATATTTTAGCACATTTTAATGCATGAATTGTGCACATTTTTAAAGTATGGATTTTGTCTCATTCATTAAAGCATGTTTCTGATCATTTTTCAAATGCATTTTTGGTTCATTCTGTGAATCACTTTCCATGGTGCAAAATGTATGGACTTCAGACTATAAATTGCATTCAGGCCTGCATTTGGTTCCATAAGGAACAAATTGAATACATTCTGGTAAAAAACAAACTGAAATAAATTTCTCAACCTTCCGTACTAGTGAGCGCCTCAGAGTCTTTATGCGATCTATATTAGAAGCAGTAAATCAGCATATTAGAGTTTGTTTCTGTGTAGGAATGTATCCCAAGGCAATGAATTAAGGAGACTTTAATCTGCTGCATCTACTTTTGGTTTTGTCACAGAACTGAAATCCAAACATTATAAAGTATTTCCTTTTCTACTACATACCTCTAGTGGTACTTTGGCATAGCAGAATAGCACAAATGCACAAGAGAAAGCTATACTTTCTTTCATCAGTGAGAAATTCTGAGTTCCCTTGCTCTGAAAAAAAAAATCCAGAAGTTGCTGTCTGCACATAGAAGCAATGCCAGAGAATCAAATATTATCTAAAGAACCCATAAACAGCTGTCAGTAGGAGAATATCCAATGCAAAACAAATATCTTGTCTAAAATATAATAAAAGGTAAAGCATCTGTATAAAGTTAGAAAACATGTGATTTGGTCTAAAACTGAATTTAGAAACATTCTGTCAGAGTCGAGGAGATCACGACTGTTCATCCAGCTAGAGAATGAGTGTTCTAGGCTGATGGTGCAAAGCCCACTCTGTAATTGCCCATGTCAAAGATGGAATAGTACTCCTTAAGGAAGACATCACCCAGGATCCATAGAGGCTGCCCATTTGGGGAAGGCACGTACGTGGGCTCAACGGCAACATAACAGTAGCCCTTGTTCTGTGAAAGAAAGGAAAACGCCACTTCAGTTGCAGTTCTGTCAGAGAGAATATATGACACACGGCATCTTTTAATGAAGGTCCTGATTAGAGCACATGACAAAAGCACAGCTCTCCAGCTCTTTCTGTCACCATGTGACTGAGTGTGGGATTGTCTATGGTTTGTTGGAAAGGGCATTTTATGAGGCTTGGATCCCCATTACATATGCCCCAGTGTGTGTTGGACCATTAACATGGCAGTCATATTCAGCAGGAACAGAATTGCCTGCTTTGCAGAAAAGGAAAGCACTTATGTTAGCAGCAAAGAGTTAACCATGTGTGCATTGGTAATAATGAGAAAATGGTGGGATTAGTCTTCGTTTCACCATTCCTGCTATTGGAAGTCCTTCACTTGGTTCCAAAGAAGGAAATCAGAGCCAATGAGACTTTGAGAAAATGTTTGCATCTGCAGGTGTAGAAAGTAACCCAGTTGGAAACAAGAGATAATTATAAGGTAAATGGCTTCACAAAGATGGACACAAAAAAAAGCCTGAAGAAAAATGGCCAAGTAATCATAACAATAATTTTCCTGAGCGAAGAAATACCAGCTCCAAATATTGTATAGCCATGTTGAATATTTGTCTCTTAAACAGAAACCTATTGTTATTAGAAAGAGATTGACAATGCTACGGTCACATGCTCTAGACATTCATTTAGGTGTGCAAACTCAAATTGGCAAGGCTTACAGCAGGAGTGGCCAACTTTTGGGAAGGATTATTGAGGGGCACATTGCAGCAGTGGGAGCCAGGATACGTGGCAAGGCCAAGGAGAGAGAAAACAAAGTGGGGAGGACCAGAAGGAATTCTTTTCAGTTTTGACATTTCCCTACCATGCATACAGAACACAACTCAGTCGCAAGCAATTTAATCATTAAACAATCTGATCACTAATGGGAGATAATTGCAAAAGAAGCTCTGGCAAGATAGCAACCCTTGGGTCAGCACCCCACAATTGAGGTTCCCCGTCCCTGATGTTCAGTGTGCGCTTCAGCATGGATAAGTGGCACATGCCCAGCAAGCTGCTGTTCACCTCCATCCTAGATCCTCCTCTATAACCCCTGCAGCATTGCCAGTGAAAATTATTTTAATAACAGACTAGTCGGCTGGCTGGCTGTCTTGCTTGCTTGCTTGCCTGCCACACCGCTGCATTTGGTGGTGGTGGCAGGACTGCAGCCTGTCTGCATGGGGGACCAGAGTCTGGCCTCTGAGTCCCTGAAATTGTCCAGCCCAGCACTATAGGATTCAGCTAAGCAGGAAAGTATACATACGTTGGAAACATAGGCTGAAGGAGGCAGTGCAAACTGGTTTCCATTAATGGTAAAAGTGATGGTGGGCATGTTCTGGACGTTGTCACAATTTACCTCATACTATGAAGAGAACAAACACAGAGAAAGTTAACTGTGAGTTGGCTGTAGGAGAGGTTAGTTACATTATATTCCCACCAAAAACCAGAATAATTGAGAAAAAAGTCCTGTAAACACACTTAGTAGTTTCATGAGCCCCATGAGTTCCATATACTACACACACCTAAGGCCTTCCTTCAGGTGCCTTCTCTGAGGGAGGCTCAGATGACAGAAACAAGGGCAATGGCCTTCTTGCTGGTACCCCCACACCCTGCTCCAACTTCTCCCAAGCAAGGTCTGCCTGGTGCCAACATTATTCTCTTTTTAGGGCCAAGTTAAGGCATTTAATAGCATATGCTAAGGTTTTTTAAATTCAGGTCCTGTATTCTTATTGCTGATAATTTTGTTTAGATACGTATTTGTGTGTGCACTGTCTGTATGTATGTTTGTGTGTTGGAGACTAATGTTTTTGTTATGGACAATATTGTATTTTAAAGTTTTTAATGTAATTTTAAAGCACAGAGAGCTTTGGGTATTGAAGGGTACAGAAAAGTAGAAAATTAAGGGAAGTACAGCAACTACTTAGGCTATTATGTTCACAAGACATGAGAAGATAAGTGATATTGTCTGGCCTTGTTAGATGAAGGTCCATCTAGTCCAGCATTCTCATTCCAAGAGGAGTTACCCTGGGATGCCTCCAGGAAAGTCACAAATGTTAAATAAGCAGAAGGCTATGTCATTTAGGTGACTGGTGGTATATGATAGCACAACTGCTTCCCCAGTGAGAGCTGACCTGCAAAAGTACTTTGAGATATCTTCAGAAGCCCTCCAAGTCGTCATCCTCTACTTACCGCTCCATTGTATTGAGCTTCCACAGCCTCAAGGAAACTCACTAAGTACTGTCCCGGGACTGTAAGCAGCACTGTTCCAGTGTCCACAATTCCCTGGCAGCCTTGGCTGCACCATCCAGTAGCCTTGTTGCCGATGGCAAACCTGTAGCGGTAGCAATAGCAGAGTGTTTCTCCAAGCAAATTGAGCAACACATGAGCCTATTGGAATCTCAGAAAGTGAATGCCCCTTCCCACTGCACTGATGCCTACCATTTTGTGATATGGGAGGTGGGGGACACTTCTGATATGATCTATTACTCCTAACTTTTCTCCATAAAATTGATTGTACTTCCAATTACATAGTGTAGGCTGGATCAGGCTTCTGACACTTTGAAGGAGCATTTCCTATGCAGGAGAATCTCTCACTCCCTCTCTCCTTCTCTTCCCCACTATACAGATGTTAAAATAGAAAACAAGAATAAGGCATCCTACTTTGGTAAAAGGTGAGGAGCTCAAAGGAGAAAACACAGGATAAAAGATCAATGAACTGGAAATGGTGTATATGACTTACTCCTCAATACCAATCTGCCAGTAAGGCCCACTGGTGACAGGTGCCCAGGAAATTTCCCCATAGAACAGTTGATTATCGATACCTCCCAGGATCAGTTCTCCTCCATACTGAACAGTTGGTTGGCTGGGGGGGGGGGGGGGGGGGGGGGCGGAGGGAATGAGGGAATGGACAAGACAGTCAAAATTAGAGAAGAAAACACATTAAATAAGACAAAAGAGAACAATAGGGCACACTGACCACAGATTGCTCCAGATTAATTAGTCCAGAATTCCACCCCCTGTCCTGCACTCAGGCCAAGTTCTTACTCCACTGCCAAGCCTTCATTTAAACAGTGGGGACAAATTCTAGTTCTGAGGTCAAGGGGGTGGTTAAAGTGAAACATAATCATTTAAATACTCCCTAGCACACAAATAGATTTGAGATCTCACCGTGAGAAATAGAAGCTGAAGATGGGTTCAGAAATCTGCTTTTGTCTCAGCAGCTGTTGCAAGACTGTGTATGACCCTGCTTGATCCAGGGAAGGATATGTTAAACCCAAAATCCCATCATAATTGGCATAGTAGAAAGGATTAGTGGGCTCATTCAAACTGAGACCAAAGTCCTGGTGCTGAACAACAAGGTTCTGAATCTGAGATTGAAACAAGAAGAATTGGATTTCACTTGCAGTTTGCTGCATGAGAACAATCTGCCACTGGAATTTCAAGTGTAATCTACCAGTAACTAAAGACAAACAATTAAAATACATTTAGGAATAATATACCATGTGACACAGCTGGGGAGATAGTGGATTTAATGTAAAATGTATCAGAGAAATATATAATGCAATCCTGTACATAACTTTGATGAATTCAGTGAGACCAACTTCCTGTTAAGCTTGCATAGCATGGAAATCTTAAATTAAAATCCAGTCCTGATAAAACAACCATTGATTAGGATAGGTTAGATTAAATGGTTACCTGGGGAAATGCCTCCTCTGAGCTGAGTAACCCTTTCCTGGCAGGATCAAATTCACAGCTTTACCTAGGTAAAGTTCCACCTATAATGTGGGGACTTAGTCAACCTCTTCAAGAATTAGCCTTTTCTCTGAGGCAGTAGCAGGACAAGCCTGTGCCCATCCAGCTGCTACTGGTGACACATCACAACTTGTTATGTTGGCTTGATGGAGATAAACTGTACTGTACAGAACACAGTCAGCAGTAACTTTAAGTTGCCATTGTATGCTCAGCCAAGACAAACAACTGGGAAAGGCTGGTGACTCAAATGTTGCTTGGGCTCCTTATCTATTGCAAGTAGCTTTAATTTTGAGCTTCACGGGTACTCTCCGAACTTTTACCCTAAAATAGATTTGCCAGCATGGAGCACCATGGATAGTTTCTATAATGCTTCCCAGAATCAGCCCTGACTGAGATTTGTAATGGTGACTTCTTAATTAATTTCAGGCATAAGAACACAAGAAAAACCATGCTGGATCAATTAAACATCCATCTAGTTTAGTACTCTGTTCACCCAGTGGTCAACCGGCTACCCATGGAAAACATACAAGCAGGACATGAGGGCAACATTACTCTCCCACCCACGTTCCCCAGACACTGGTGTACATAGGCACAGTGCCTGTGATGCTGGACACAGTATATCTCCCATAGGACGAGTAGCTATTGATAGCCTTCTCCTCCATGATTTTGCTGTGCCACGTTTGGAATTGTAGGATTTTTTTCTTCATGAAAGATGCACAGCATTGTACATGTAGTTATTTAATTTGAAAATAAAACTTGGAGCAATTTGTCATAAATTTCACAATTTAGTGCTACGTCACAGAGCCCATCCTTTGGTACTTGTTAAGTAAGTCCAAGTACAATGCTGAGTTCTACATCAGGAGTGTTCCTAATGCTTTTAACTGCAACATGGCTAAACATGGTTTAAAGATGGCCAGAAGGCAATGCAATTAAAGATGGGTGACTCTATTTGGACAAGGCTCACTTACCCGCACAGTATCATAGCCAAACATCACAGTCAAGTCACCACTCCCATAACGCAGGAGATAGGTCTCTCCATTTCTGGTGTAAGTAGACGATGCATTTGGGTTAAATATATTGTGGTTATCTGCAGAGAAAATAGAAAGGAAAAGGCTGTACATTTTTCTCCATGGAACTATAAATGATGCCCACTTGTGAGTAGAATATGGACATGCCCCTTCATGCCTCGTGTACTGGCTCACCCTTTCATCCATTCTCTCTTGAAGAAGGAATGTTTTGTATCTGACCCTAATTTACTCATATTAAACTAAGAGAGAGAACAGGGGGATCTCTCAAGAAAACATATACAAAAAGCCTTCTTGTTACTGTAGTTAGCGCAAGGAGTTCCAAGTGGTGAACAATGCAATGTCGACTGTTTTAAAATCAATCGAAGTACATGAGATACCAGTTTTTACTTTACAATATCCACTTTCCATTGAGAGGCCAATATAATCCAGTGGATTCAATGCTGCTTGAGAAAAGCATGGGTTCACATCTGAAATTAAATTGTGACGCTCACTAGCTAACTTTGACCAAGCCCCACTTCTTAGTCTAACCTACCTCACAGTTGTAAGGGAAAAGTGAGCTCATTGGAGGAAAAATAGGAGACAGGTGATAAAATATACTTGATAACTAATGGAATGTATTTTTAAAATTCAGAGGTTACAGTTATTCCAAGAAGGGAATAATTATGTGTTAGACCTGGCACAAGAAATCTTTCATGATTGCAGCATAATGGATATTGCAGCCAGTTGACTTCAGACCCTCACATTCCACTTGCCCATTTTTTGCAGTTATTTCTCTTAAGTATTTGTTATAGATATCAGCTAGTATAAAAACTCATCTAAGCATGCTCAGCAAATTTAACACACTTTTTTACTTGAAACAAACTCAGTTAATGTACTCCCTAAGTACAATCTAACAGGCAGGACAAACTTTTTGTACTCACCACAAGCTTTGGTCTTACAATATATGGAAGGTACCCACAGAGTGGAAGAGCCAGTATCCAAAGCAACTAGGAAGTTCTGTGGTGGAGTCCCTATACTGATTTCTCCAAAGTAAGTATACTGTAAAGTGAAATTGGTCAGAGAGAAGATTTCAGAATACCTTTAAATATTTTCCAGATTACTAGATAGTTGTGTTGGCCAAAAATAAATATTCCAAAAGAGAAATGCTAAAATCCATATCATCATCATCATCATCATCATCATCTATACTGCTCTATTAGCATAATACCTTTATTTGGCCAACCCAAATACTCTTGTTAGGCCAATTCAACGGTCACAAAATGTGGTGCAACTGACATAATAAAGCATTTTTAAAAGAAGTATTTTCATAACTCTTCTGCATTTCAGCTCAGGGTCTCAAATGAACTTTGCAGATAAGAACAAACATTTCACACAGAAAGCATGCAAGTTACACTGTTTTCTGAGATCATGTAGATTGACAGTGGTAGGACTATGCATAGAGAAGGTTATCTGAATTGGCTCTCAAAGTAAGGTGCTGATGACCTGGAAGAAGGTAGCGGAGCTGACAGGAATCCTGCAATCACAAGGTCATAAAAATCTGACTGAAAAGAAGAAAGACATTCTGTAGAGAAAAGGAAAGAAAACACTCACATCCAAGTAATTGGTCATCGGCTCATAAGCAACGCTGTATTCATTCCAGTGGTATTTCAATGCAGGATCAACATGCTGGTCCCTCAAAAAGTCATCCAGTGCTCCTTTTTCACGCATGTTCTCCCGAGCAGATTTTCCTTTCCTCAGAATGAGTCTGCATAGGATGAAAATACTTTAGGAGACAGCAAGAATATGTTTTACTCTTCATTATTTCTATGCTGTATCCAACTTTCCTGTTCTTTATAACTAAGAAGTTTAACAGACTCTCATGCTCCCTGTGACTCAAACCAAGGACATCTATGAAGGATGAATACATCTACAAAGATTTAGAAGCTAAATTTTAGTTTTGCTCCAAGACCATGGTTTTGCCGTGAAACATTGGCTGAAAATGTGTGCCCTGAATTAACTATCAGTGAAACTTGCATCTCATTCATCCCATGGCTGGGATACCCACCTCTCTAAACCCTCTGACAAGTGGAGGCAAACCAGTACTAAGACCAGCCGCTTCATGATTTTCAGTGTCTCTTGATGAAAGAGATGAATTAGAGAAGTCAGAAATCTTGTCCACAGTTGTGGCTGTTGTGCCCTACTTTATATTCTGGGCCAATGTCCTCTGTCTCCTAATCAGTTTATTCGTAATGTTCTATATCAATAGCTACACCTGATATCTACACTTTGCTTTCTTAGGGGTGATAGGAATCTTTTCCTTTGTTAGAAATATTTTTGAACACAACTGGAATGCAGCCTAACATTTTCAAAACTTGAATAATGGAATTTGGCCATGGAAAACTTTGCTATTGGAACCGAAAATTCATGATAAGATATTATCATGCATAATAAGTTTCCATGAGAATTGTTTATTTTAAGCAGTAATGATGAGGAAATGAATATTTGCGGTTGCTGTTGCAGATACTTACACAAGGCAGGACAGACTTAATTTTGATTCCACTGTGTCCCACACAAAGACAAGTGTATAACTCCCAAGTTTCTCTTTGCTAAAATATTAGTCCATGCTGAACAGTGACCTTGGGAAGGTGAGGTAGGTAACACTATCTTCAGTGACGTGTGTGACACTAAACAATGACCACTTCAATCAACCTTGTATTCCCAGCTAAAGAACATGGAATATCTTGATCTTGTTCAGTCTGATACGTTTCAAAGAGATGTCTTTTGCTCAGTTAGCACTTGGTGATGTTTGAAATATATTTTACATGAAATGAACACAATTCTTGCACTTCATATATTTATCATAGTGTGGAAAGCCTCCAAATCTGCATGTTTTTCATTAACAATGTATGGATATTCTCCATAATACATCAAATCAAACAATTCAGAAATGTCAAAATGAGGGGTGGCTAGAATAGTGTTTCTCCTTGAAGAAAATAAAATAAAATTGAATCCTCAAAGGGCCAAAAACCTGGTCCATTTTTGCAGATGCACAAATGAATTCAACTATGGGGCACAACATTATTTATACATTTGAACTGCTAAACTAATTATGCATTTCAGTTGTGCCATGACACTTGATGAGACTTGGGAAACCTAATGGAGCAAATGGAAACAAGAGGACAAGTCTTTGTGGAATTAGAATTTTTTTAGTGCAAAAGAGTGAAATGGTGCATTGTTACATGTTTCTGTGATGAAGCTAAATAGCTGAGCCACTAATATGCAGAAACAAGAGCAAAATTTGTCATGACCTTGAATTCAGCACTGGCTCAGGTATATTGTACAGACACAGGTGATAGGTCAAATTGAGCTGTTAGTAAAAAACATGAGAAAAATCTAGCATATGGCCTATTTAGAAAACACCCTTTCATTAATTGGATTTTCACATTTCAGGAGTAGGGGACTTAGGTTGGCCACAGAAGCTTTGTTAAAACAGATCTTTCTGCTGCAGAGTATTTAAAATTAAGTTCTCTAATTTTTATTTGAAAGAGTTTATGGTATTTCTTGTTGATCAATATAAGAAAAAATCATAGAAACAAAACAAACAAAAAAGCAAGTCAGAAGGGGTCTCCTGTGTCATCTAGTCTGACCCTTGGTTCCAGCCAGCTCCACTCATGTATTCCCCAGCATGTGGTTGTCCAATCACTGATGGGGCCTCCTCCTCCTCCTCCTCCTCCTCCTCCTCCTCCACAAAATAATATCCTAGGGGTCCTAACTGACATCAACCTTAAGCCTGGTTCCTTGCGCTTTGTCCCATTGGGAGGCGTCCTGCCATCCACTGCAGGGAAGAACAGGTCACAGCCCTCCTCCACATGACTTCCCCTCACATACCTAAAAGTTGCAAAAAGATCCCCCCACAGACTCCTCTACAGGCTGAAAAGACCCAGGCCCTCAATCTCTCCTCATATGTCATCCCTCCCAACCTGGCTACCATTCTTCTGACCCAGTGCTGGACCGATTCTAACCCAGCTATGGTTCTCCTATAATGTGGAGCCCAGAACTGGATGCAGAAAAAGGTTTTCTACCATCTAAATAATTTCATAGAAAGCGAGTCATTTCCAGTGTCAGGGTGCAATTTGACTGGATGCCACTGGGGTGCTGCCGTGATGCATTGTAATTGTACTTGCCTGAAGTGCCACATTACAAGATATTAGTGCGTCTACTTTCAAGAGAAAAACTAAAGGTATACATTGTTTTTTTGACTGAAGTGTCTGTTGTCATTTGTGGAAAATCCTGTCTTATGGTAGCAATCAGATACCTGAATCGAAAACTGATATCCTCTCACATCAGGCAAGATTAACTTGATGATCAGAAATGAGATTCTATGAAATTCACCATCAGCTAGCCGTGGCTCCGCAAAAAGATGTCAAGGCCTGGAAAAAGTCAGAAACAAAACACTTTTTGCAGGGATTATTTTGTTTTTGATTGCTTGTTTTCCTTTTAAAAAAAATGTGGGGAGGGAACTGGACAGTTTTAGATTAAGAGATGTTTTATTTAGAATTTAAGACAAGGTGTTCATGCATTGTTGCCCAATCTTTACTCCCCAAAAATTATTTCTAAGGAGCAGCCAATAAGAACATTTAATATCCTAGGGATATAAAATGTCTGGAAATAATGAACCATCAGCAATTTTTTTTAGTGCTCTGTGCCTTACATCATAGAGAGTTCCCCGCATAATTTTTCCATTCCTTATTAAGTTGATTTTATCTTTATTATAATTTTATATAATTTATTCTTCAGCATTTAGTATATTATAATAAATAAATTCTTACATATAATATTGTGATGAATAAGTTATTATATATAATACTTACAAACCATAATTATTTAATCAGTAGGGTGGTTCCAGTTATACAATAAGCTCTCCACCACAGCCTGCCTGGCACCATCTTTAGTAGCTGCAGGTTAAGAATAGTTTACTATTATTTGGGGACTTTGTTAGCAACTGAAATTGTTCTTATGGTTTAATTTAAATGAGCTATTATAGTTTTTTATATTTGGTTCAAATTTGGTTTAACATGCTGTGTGGTAACCTTTTATGATGTTATTGCTACCTGTATCTTATGTGTTACTGGGTACTACTGGGCTAGTATAGAAATAAGATTAACATAGAAATAAATAAATGAATGAAACAAACCACATCCCTTCCCAAATCATTTATACCCTTTGTCTTTTGTCCCTTCCAAGGTCCAATTCGCTTTTGTCCATAACCCTAAATAGGCACTATCCACTCCCAGGAGGTTCTAATGAGAGGTTGGTGGGTGAGAACTTCCAGGGACCTTTGGTGGCCCAATACTTCAGTCACACTCCTCTGCATCACAGAGAATAGAGGTGCAGGGGGAGTCACTGGGAAGAACTGCATCATTCTGAAGAAGAAGAAGAAGAAGAAGAAGAAGAAGAAGAAGAAGAAGAAGA